TCTAGAGGAAATAGCATCTCTTGATGGATTGATAAATCTGGACTTGTCTTGGAATCAATTGAATGGAATCAATAGCGTCTCATGGGCGCGGACAAGCACTCTTGTGTATTTTCACATTAACAAAACACTATTTATAGGAATTACAGTATGTGCCTTGTCCTTCACATCACCATGCAAAAAGGAAGTATGTGCCTTGTGCTTCACAGCATCGTGCCAATATGTAACCCCATTTATGAGGGCAATGCCCCCTTTTTATGACAACTTTCATATTTGCTGAATATGGACAAGGGGGCACATGCCCCCCCTACCTCCACACGTAAAATCTATATTCATTTGTAGCTCCATTTTATAATGCATCAGCAGAACATTATTAGGAGGTACTTCGGATTAGTTCTTCGTCAAGCCAAGCAATTTGCGTCGTTGGACTACTAGAATCTCGGATATAGGCGAGGCACATCTCTGGATGCCCTATAGCCAGTTATCGTCAGCAAAGAAAAAGTATCAAAAGTTGGATTCAATTAATATTGCAAGTAGTCTTCAGAACCCGTTTTCGAGATTTCGTGGCATGTCTCGCTGGCAGATATCTATGATCACTCTTGTGTAGCATGTATCCAGTATATGATAACTATCTCAGCTAATACTGAAGACACCGCTACAAACCTGCAAAGAAGCCCGGTAGTTGGTAATGCTAAAAAAACTCACTTGGTTATCTTTGAACTTTGAAATTTTGACACTAATGCTTCTCTGAACAGGTATCTTTGTCAGAGATTCGAAGATCTATGTATGCTTATTTCGGTTCTTCTCAGTTAGCTTTAAGTTGGGTTATGCATTACTGCATGGCACATGGTGCGAACTAATTTGTAGCTTCCTTGATGTATTGTTGCGAGCGTATTTATGTTCTGTTTCATAATCAATCTGTATTTATCCCATCGATCCTTCTATCGATCTCACATCGGAATTCTCAATGAAAGCACCAGTGTCGGTGTCAAAACCGGCAGATCTCGGGGTAGGGGGTCCCCGAGCTGTGGATCTCAGACAGATGGTAACACGAACGGAGAGATGATGTTTTACCCAGGTTGGGGTCCTCTTAATGGAGGTAAAACCATACGTCCTGCTCTTATTTATATTAATGGAGATGATGTATCAAGTACCGAGTTGATCTACCTCGGGATCATAAGATGTGGTCTAACTCTAAGGCTAGGTGAATAATGTTGCATTGATGTCCCCTCTACGAGCTAAATTCCACGGCTTATATATACACCCAATAGGGTATCTAGGGTTACAAGGTCGGTATCTAGGCATAAGGCGACAGGAGATATCTTGAAGTATACGACAAGTCTTCGGTGAAGGTAGTCTACGCACTGCCTCCGGAGTCCCTCTTGAGAATGCATGAAGTCCCATCGGCCCAATCCGAGGAGCACGGGCCGACTAGGTTAGTACCCCCTAGTCCATGACACCGTCACCGTCCAACCGGAGCAGCACCGCTGCCATCCTCGTTCTTCCTCCAAGGCTTCACTGCGCCGGGGCAGCACTGATGCCATCACCGCGAGAGCAATAGCGTGGGGGTAACGGCCTCTGGCGCTACAGCTATCGCGTTGCAGCTAACTTTTAGTAGTAGCGGGGGCCTGACCTAGCGCTACTACTACTTGTGTTAGCAGTAGTGTGGGGTAGGACCCACGCTACTGCTAAATAGCACCAGAGCTTGTTGTTACCCCATGCTACTATTACTATTATTGTGTATTTTTTTTCATATTTATACACCCTTATACAAATTTTCACAAACTTTTATTCCGCGGGCGCAAGTGTTTCGGGTTCCTTCATAGGTACCATGTCCATCCGGTCCAGTTTTTTGAACTTATTTTTTGTTTCTTTTCTTTATAAAAAGTAGGGTAATTGCAAAAAGTAACTTCGTAAATTTTAAAAAACTTGTGCAAATTACAAAATATTCGTATTTTGAGAACATGTCCGTGATATAAAAAATAGTTCCCATTCTTTAAAAATTGTATGGAAATCTCGAAAAATATTCGTATTTTTTCAAAAAGTGATCAGAAATTTTAGAAACAAATTTTTTCTTGAAAAAATGTTGGACATTTTTAAAATATTCACGTTTTGTTTTTCACAATTTCGAAAATGTACGTGCTTTTGGAAAAAGAAAACTAAATTATGAATTTAGCATATCAGAGTTCCCGTCTTTTCTTTGGGCCCTGCAATGCACAAAGGCATGCAAAAAAAAAGGCCTAACCCGTGACAAATGGTAGTCAGATGCACAGTGACCTATATGCTCAACCCTGCTCAGAATTAAGCCCAGTGACTTTGATTGGTACTTGTAGATAGGATAAATGAGCTAGTTGAGCCTATGCATCAAACGATGCACAGTAGACGCATCATTTATTTTAAATAAAAGATGATTAATTTTTTTAAATAGCTAGAAAAAATTATTAAGTAAAAATTATTCGACAATGTGTGAATATCTTTTTCAATACATGATAGAGTGGATATTATTTGACAATGCATGAATATCATCCTTTTTAAAATATACACGAACATTTAGAGAGAGAAAACATAAACACTATATTTTCTTGATTTAATGAACATGTTAAAAGCTACGAGAACACTTATTTTAAAAGTTACATAAAAAAACTGCATTTTACTTTAACTAGGTATGTAACAGTTTATGCTTATTTTTCAAAATGCATATAAATTTAGACCATTTTGAAATATACATATATAAGGGAAAAGAAAAAAAAATAGAAAAACCATGTTGCGTTGTCGGGCTTGCCCATGTAGGGCCGCGGATCTCGCCCTTCTATTTGCTACAGGCGAGACATAGCTAGATTAAAAGAAAAGACGAGACATAGTTTGTGTTTAGAAAAAGAAATGGTGAGACATAGCACCACTGAAACCTCCCTTTCAGAGATCTCTCTGAATCTCCCGGCAGCCGCACAAAATGAACTCAACTACTCTCAAAATAAAATCTACTCAACTGAAAGAAAGAAAAGAAAAAAGAATGCAGTCGCCTAAGGTTTAGGAGATGCGAAAAGGAAATCCTACACCAATTGGGTTGGATTGAGTTTGTACAAGTACTTTTGTTGTTTTGTTGGCTTAATTTAGTAGAGGAAGAAGAGCAAGTTAATTAATTAGTAGAGAAAACCTCATAAATAAGTGGCTGCTCACAACAAAAACTGGGGGGCTGTAATAACAAACGATGTAAAACCTGTAAAGTTTCATTCTTAGTAGAGTAAGAAGAGTACCCTCTACAAGCCATTTCCTTGTGGTGGTATATATATGCACAGCAGGCAGGTCCAACTGGAAGAAAATTAATCAGTGGCCACATGTATAAGTACAAAATAAAGGCGATAATACAATAGGCAATAATACAATAGGCCTAATGACAGTTACACCGAACAACATTCGCATCATCGATCAGTTCATGGAGCCAAATCATGATCGGAACACTAGGTAGGAAAAAAAAACTCAATTCTACCAATTCAATTTACAGAGGCGAATACACAAAAAAATTGTCAAGAGGCGAATACACAAAAATATTCTCAAGTCGTGCGAGGCTGATGCTGAATCGCAATAACCACCTCACACCATGGCACCGTTTGGATCTTGGAATGCTCTGCTCTGTTGGCTGCTGCTGCTGCATCCACAAATTAAAGCCCACTTATCTTGTTTAAAGGAAGGAAGGAAGGAAGGACATCCCACTGCGAGCCATCACTTGTTTACGTCGATATTCTATTCTGCAAACACACATCACAATTGTTGTATCAGTTGGTGCTTTAAGAGGAATGTGGCGACAGACAGATTCAAGTTATTCAGAGATTTTACAATGTTTCAGTGCACAACACTCCTATTTGAGCATTATATTAGGTAGTAGGGAAAACCCAAAAATGAGAACAAAGTGTCGAGTACGTACTCACCTTTCAGCATATCAACGCTTGTGTTGTGTTGTTTGTTTGTTTGCTCTGAATCAGCTGTGAAATTCACTACTGGGACTGCAGAATCCAATCAGCTGTACAATAGATGAACTTGGGTCAGACAGAGTTTGAAAAAAGCACTCTAAGGTAACTTAAAGCACCCAATCATTCATTACCTTAAGAGTGAAGGATCAATGGCAGTGAAGCCTAAACAAGTACTGGTATGCAATCTCCATGCAAGATTGTAAGTAGCTGGGTACAATACTTTCACTACTCTGCCCCAGCATAATTCTCATTGCTCCGCTCCTACAGGAATAATTCAGTATCAGGCTGAATAGGGATTTTTCAAGAATCAAACAAATTGGAAAGCATTCTCTCTTCTCTTGTAGAGTGTAACTCGATTAAATTTCACTTCACGATAATAGTAGGAATCCATACCATTCTGTAAAGAAAATAAATGCACCACCAAGACAAGAAGACAGCACTCTCTGCTACATACATATATTATAAAGCTGCAGGCAGCATCATTCTGTCAAAGGAAAGGATTCAATAAAGAGGAAATAAAGGCACTTGATTCATTCATTCATTCATGGTAAGAAAATAAAATAAAATCTTCTTTTTGAGTAACAGCAGGCAGTTAAATACCTCTTCCTCGCTGCTACTGATGCCAACAGTTAAAATCTGCTTCATGCGAAAAAGGAGCACAAGCCTGATAATTCAATTCCATGATTCCAGCCTCACTTCTTCTTCATCGTTACCAAGTGACTGAGTGATGTCTCGCACACCCTTTTTTATTTCACATACATAGGGAACACAAGCCTGACCAAGAAAATGCACCCATATATATTATGAGAAGTAACAGTGTATCAATCTCAAGTCTACTAGCACAAAAGGGGTACAAAAGAACTGGATGAAAAGAATGAATTAAGCAAGCAGGAGAAAGATAAATAAGCAAGCCAAAGTGGTTGCTTTACAGCATGAATGCAGTCACAAATTAAGGACAGAAATTTGGTTCTGGAGCCTCATCAGAAATAGAAAAAAATAAAAATAGGGAGGCGACAAGTGTTACCTTGGGTGTAGTTAGAGATCCGAGACGGATAAATCTGGGTTGGTTCTTCTGATTTTCTCAATTTGCTCGTCTATCTCAGCGCTGCAATCAATCATCTCTAGTTTTCTCAGCGAAGCCGGAAGGCCCTCCTTGGGCATCGATCGGATTTCTTGACACTCAATGACACTTAACTCCTTGAGAGAAGAAAGGCGATGTAGCCCTTGAGGAAGCGACTGCAGACCCCTGCATCTCAAAAATGTTAGATTCTGGAGAGAGGTGAGGAGCTGCAGCGCTTTCTCTTGCTCTTCCGTCAAGCTTTCCATCCTCTCATCTTCCATGAATTCAAGTGTGTGGAGGGCCGGGGCGAGGAGGTTGCAAATAGGAGCAACAAGCAATCCACAGATGTCATCCGTGAAGAGTACCTCCAGTCTAGAGATGTAACCTGCAGGCAATAATTTGACCCTCTGAGAGGCCACCTCTGAGAGCATATCTGCTGCTAAGGTGTTGCACCCATGCACTAGCAGTTGTATGAGGTTGGCTGCGATGAGAGGATTGAATCCGTCCACTGTTAAATTACTGCATCCTGACAGCCTTAGAGTGGTGAGAGACGTGAGGTTTGAGAGCAGAGCCATTGACTTCATGCTTGGCTCTTCGAAAACATCAAGTTTCCTCAGGGAAGCAGGGAAAGGGCAAATGGTCTCTGATTCTCCCATGGGCCACTGAGAGAACAATTTTCCACATCTCAATATGCTTAATGATTGGAGCAATGACTTGTCCTCCTGAATTCCTCCTCCATTCTCATTCTCCACAGGCACAAGAACCAGGCCCTTACACCATGCGAAGGAAAGTTCCTTACACCATGAGAAGGCCCTTACACATTCCTCATAGTCATGGTCTCCATCTCCAGCTATGTGCAACACAGAAAGAGCTGGGAAACAGTTTAACACTTTTGAAGATGATGATTTGCTGCTGGTAAGATGAGATGCATGTAATTGGAGACTCTTAACTGAACAGAAGACAAAACTGTCATCCAACTCTTCAGGGAACAAACCATCGCACCTTCCGACAGTCATATCTTCTACTTTATCCAGATTGCGGGAGGCCAAAGCATCGCTATACCCACTAACAACCAATTTGTTTCCATCATAAGATAACATCGTTCCTGAATCAGTCAATTCTTGGGGCATAAAGTTGGTTCTTTTTCTTGAATTTCTTTGAACAACCAAATATGTCAGTGTGGAGGTGTGAGGCATGGCGGGAAGAGACATCCTTGGGCACCCAGAAACTTCAAGTCTGCGCAAATTGGTGCACGATACCTCCGAGAAGGGCATCACACGGAGATTGGGACAATCGATGCATTCAATTGTTTCAAGACTTGGAAAGGAATTGCAATTAGGTTCCACAACCCATTCAACAAGTTCTGGCATCTCATGAAACCAAACTGTCTCCAAGCGCATAAAACATTTGCCTGGAGGTCCAAACCGATGCATTCCAGAAAATTTCTTCAAGTAGAGTTCCTTGAGATTTGGTAGGTTCCCAAAAGGTGGGAAGGTGCTCCAAGATACGCTTTCTAGCATGAGAGCTTCTAAACTTGTGAACCAGATGTCAAGACACAACCAGCTAGGACCAACGGTACCACAATGATTTGCAATTCTAAGTACTCTAAGATTAGAGTGTGGTTGAAGAGCATCAAGAATATCAGCATCTGTAGTTGGTCCTTCTCTGCTCCAAAGTAATCCCAACACATCCAGATTCCTTTTCAACATCAGTTTGGCTGCAGTAGCTTCCTCCTTGGTTGCCACGTGTTCAAGACCACGTATAATCAGTTCTCCTTCAAGCTCTGTCAATGCCCCAAGTTCTGACAGTTCAAATCCCATGCTCTCCTTCTTGATATCGAATTCCTTTAGCTCCTGCAGATGCTTCATCTTTCCAACATTGTGAATATTGGAGTGGAGTTTACTTCTAGCACAGAAATCATGTAAATTCTCAAGGTGGCTAAAGTCTTCAGGCAAATCAGAACTACCATGCCAGTCATCTAGGTCCAAGAATTTCAAGTGATAAAATCTTGACAGTGTACTAGGTAACCTCATTTCATTCTCACTGAAATAAGCTGAAGTAATTTTGAGGTACTGGAGGTGGATAAGTTTTGAAAACCTATATGGAAAATATTGTGAAGACTTCACAACTATAAATAGGACACGCAGACTATTTATTTCCTTGAAGCTATCTTTCAAAAGCTTGGCGATTCTTTCTTCTTCATATCTTCTAAAAATCATCAAAGTCCGCAGATTAGTAATGTTTATCCTCTTCCTTAGTTTACACATTTGTTGCTCAAAATTTGCATCATATCTGTCTTCTATGTTGATAGATAAGTGGCGAACAGATTGTGGGATGGCATCAGCTCTGAAGTCTAAGCCACTTATATTGAGGCATTCTTGTGCAGAAACAATCTTAGATAGCTCATGCATTAAATCATGCATTACATAGTAGTATTGAACACTCATGAGAAAACCACTGTCCACTAGTTCTTCCATGTAATTCCTGTTGGCTTGGTGATTAGAGTCTATGATGCCAATTGCAACCCAGAAATGATTGATTTCTGAAGAAGTAAACCTATGATCTTCAGGGAAAAGTCCACAATAGGAAAAGCATCTCTTCAGATAAAATGGGAGGTATTCATAGCTAATCTTCAAAGTTTGCATGATATCATCATCATCTTGCTGCTTTAGCCACTCATCCTTTTCAAGAACTCCATTCCAATGTTCCTGAGAAAGTTCCTTCTGCAACAGTCTACCAACTGTTTTGGCTGCCAGCGGGGAACCCTTTAGCTTGTTTGCAATTTTTTGTGCAATACCAGCTAACTCATATTGGTATTCCTCAGGCTTGTCGTGTTCACCAAATATACATGCTTCAAAGAATGTGAAGAAGTCATTCGGCTCCAAACCTCGCAGCTCTAGTGGATCAACTGTTTCCATCATTTGTGCTAGCTTTGGGAATCGAGTTGTGACAAGTAGCATGCTTCCTTTGGCTCCCCCCTTTGTGAACGGAGCTAACAGGGTTTTCCATTGATCCTGGCTGTCACATTTCCATATATCATCCAAGACAATTAGAAACCTCTTGGACTTGAGACGATAGGCTATGGATTTCTGAAGCTGGTCTAAATTGGCTGTTTCATTTGCAACACTGCTGCTTCCTTCTTCTTCAGTTGCAGGTATGCAGCCAAGGATCTCCCTGGTGAGCTTAAGCACATCGAAATCAGTGGATACACATACCCAGACCTTGACTTGGAAGTGTTCTTGAGTCCTTGCATCATTGTAGAGGTGAGTGGTGAAAGTTGTCTTGCCAATACCCCCTGGACCAACTATAGGAAGAACAGAAACAATGTGTGTGGCAGTAGTGATACGGTTGACAGTTTTCTCAAAAATGTCTTTCCTGCCATACAACGTATCTTGTACAATCATGGAAGCAGTCTGAGGCCGATGTAGGGCGACTGCCACTGCCGTGCTGCTGCTTGGGATACTGCCGATGAACAAATTGGAGACGGAATCACAGTGGGACTGCATGCTCTGTAACACGGACTTGATTTCTCTGGACATGGACACTCTGTCGAAATGCAGCGTATCATCACCATCAGCACTAGCAGTAGCAGAGTTGGAGTTGGTGACACCGGCAACAGCAGTAGCAGCAGCAGCACCACCACAACCATTCCTGTTGGGTGTACAGGGGGAGCAAGAAAAGCAGTGGAGCAAGGTGCCTAGGGTGGTGGTGACGTGGCGTGGTGCACCGGCAACAGCAGCAGCATCATCACTATCATCCCTTTTGTTCTTAGGTGTAGGCGAGCAAGAAAAGCACTGTACCAAGCTGCCAAGGGTGTGGCGAAGAGCAGTACAGGCGTGGAGAGCTTGATGGCCGGCCTCTTGGGTGGTGGCGTAGCTGGTGCCGTGGAGCTTGTCATGGATCTGAAAGTAGTGGACCTCATCCAGCAAGTCCTCTGCCTGGTCGGCGTCCCTGCTCAGCTTCTCCAGCAACCCGTGCAGGCCAGGGTTGTGGCTCCCCTGGGCCTGGGCCTGGGCGTTGTGCAGGAGGCCTTGCGCGTGCAGCAGCTTGTCCTTGATCTGCTCCGAGTTGTGGCCGAGCTGGAGGCTGTCCACGTACGCCGCCACCGGGACGGCGGACAGCATCGTTAACACCTTGCCGAGCAGCGTGGCCGCCGCGCCGAGAGCCGCCGCCATCTGCACTCCGCCGGCCGCCTCGCCTCGCTGGAGCAGTGGTGGAAGCGCAGCTGCTAGCGGTGGATTCAGGTGGCCCGCGAGAAATGTGTGGGGCAGAGGCGAGGAGAGTTGGGCGGCGCGGCGATGGTAATTGGTAAGGTGGTGTGGCGTCTGGGAGTGGGAGTGGGAGCTGGTGGGAGTGCGAGCTGGTGAGAGTGCGAGTGGGAGCTGGTGGTCGGTCTTTTAATTAGAAAGCAAGCGCGTCCGACTTTAAACCACTCGGCTTACTCCGTGTATCCACTAAGAAAACATTTGCCTTATACTCCCTCCGTTCCTAAATATAAGTCTTTTTAAAAATTCTACTATAGAAACTACATTCGAATGTATATAGACGCCTTTTAAGTATATGTTCACTCATTTTACTCCGTATGTAGTCTATAGTAAAATCTCTTAAAAGGCTCATATTTAGGAACAGAGGGAGTACTACATACTCATTGTATTTTTTAATAAGTCGGAGGTCCAAAAAAAGTACTCCCTCTGTCCCAAAATATAAGTCGTTAAAGGTAATCCCAGTCAAAAAAATTAGGCTACGGAATTTCCGGAGTTCCCAAATTTGCCCTCGCTCGCGACACGACCAGATCACCTCTAATGGGTCGCGGACAGCCTCGCTCGCCTTCTTCCTCTCGTATCCACCGCCGTCGGCAACTTCCTCACTGCGCCCAACCACGTCGCCGCTGCCTTGCTCCCCCATGCCGCCGCCGCCTTGCTCCCGCACGCCTTGTATCCCTCCTCTATTCCACTACCACGCTACCACCTCAGTAGGCTCCGTGGAGAAATGCAGAGGCCGGGGAGTCCCTCCTTTTCGAAAAAAAAAGGCTCCGTGGAGAAGATGGTGAGGCCAAGGTCAGATTTTTCTGGCCATGGGCGGCGGATCTGCAAGCGGCAGGGGTGGATCCTTCGCTTCTTCTACCGGATCTGCAAGAAATGACCATGCTCCACTCTGATGTCCTGAAGACATTAGGTTATCCTGATCCAAATTCCAAACTAAAGGAAAAGCATATATGGCTCTTGGAATCTTGAATCATAATTTACAAACTCTTCCATCTTATCTCCTGATGTCTATATAAGCGCTGATGCATGTGCCGTCACACACCTGAATCCTGACAGCCTTCACATGCTGCCGTGGTTGATGCATGCATGTGCCGGCATATTAAAAGTGGAGAGTTCATCATATTTTTGTGTTGAATGGACAGCCCTCACATGCTGCCGCCAGTGGTTCGTGCATGAATCAATGTGATTAGGGGCATAGTTAAAACCAATATGCCGCTCTCTTTTACCCCCACCAAATGCTACGGCCCTTTATTCATCGAGTTTACCCAATAAAAACCAAGTTCTCGTCCGGTCGGACCAAAACTCTCGTCGGATGAGCTCAGAAGCCCGCCCACCTAGATGATTATTGACCACCATCTCATGCCCACGGCGCGGCGAGAGGCTAGCTCTTCCACCACCCACTGGGGGCTCTTGAGGATCCCCAATGCCTTTGTGCAGTATAAAAAAAATCCCCAATGTGCTCTTGCAATCTACCTTGAGGATCTATTTTGAATCCATCCATTATGCTTGAGATTGTAACGGTGTGCAGTCTCTCAAGAGAAACATACCGAGCAGTGTGGGTGTGGCCCTGTTTAGACCGTGAATTAATCAGACTGCATCTTACTCAGGATGACAAACATACCGATAGTACAAACATAAGGGCGCCGTACACGTGTATATATAGGAAACCAAAATCATCTGAGATGGAGTAGAGTACTGGTGGTTGGATTGAACTTTCACAGTGACAATGGAAGAGCATATAGCCACCTAATACAACAAGATCAAAACTGAAGATGTAATTTCTTCCGTCATTTTGTTTGCTCAAATAAAAGAAGAAAACAGAGCATAGCCGGCATACAGTATTCTAAATGGTACTCCCTCTGTAAACAAATATAAGAGTGTTTAGATCAATATTTTAGTGATGTCTTTTTGCTTGGCAAAGCATCACAACACAAACTGCGGGGCCGTAATAAGCTTCATGGCCACGTCTCCCTCTCCAACCAAGGAGAATATTACTGCTTGCTTGCTTTGTTTGTGAAGTATCGGTGCGATTAGGCGTTTGATTCATGTCTAAGCATTGGTCCAAGACACAAGGAATCCTTTTTTGCTTTGCTTTGCTTGGGCAGGGCATTCAAATTAGAATACTGATGATGGAACCAAAGTTACAATAAGCCTCACTTTTCAAAAGCATAATGAATGGAGTACGTAAAGTGCAACTGATTAGGTAAACTAAGTACCACTTGCCATGCTCGACGAATATGCATGTAAATAAACTAACAATGTGATGTCCTTCACAATCATGTCTATTGCTTAAAGCAGCTGCTTTATTTCATTTCGTTTTTGAAGCAACATTGAAAGGCATCACTGCTTAAAGGCTGAAAGAAACTAACTGCTGCGTACATTACATAGATGAGTAGTCAAAATGACCATACAGAGAAAGCAAATAAGTAACAAATTTCAACTGTACGTACCTTGATTATTAGTACGTATTAAGATGAAGAAGACACCAATCTTATCCTGCTAGCTGCGGCTGATGGATTTTTTAGCTCCAACTGAAACTGAAAGAAACAAATCAGTGAGAGGCAACAACTAACTAGTTATGGAAGATTTTGTACTGGTAGACAAAACATGGAAATCCCTGAAACTGAAACTCACAAGTGTTGTGTTCTTGGGGAAGGCCCCAAAGCTGCCACTGACCAACTAAACTAATAATCCCTGATTGGTTTAATTGGAATTGGATTGGTTTGAGATAAAACCACATTGGAAGGGGCCGGAACGTAGACACAAAGAGAGAGAGGCATCCGCTGCGCCCCGAGTCGACGACCTCTTTCCTCTCTGGCCCAGATCCAGGTCGCCATCGCCGCCGCCGCCGCACCTGCGCACCAACTCTATCCGCCTGTTCGAGGCCGAGCGACTCTTTTTTTCCGAGGAAGAATAAAAAAAAATGTGACTCATCGGTAGGAATATTGATTGAAAACCTTTATGTCCTTTTTTCACAGAAAAAAATGTTTAATGCCCTTGGTGATCGCCAGCTTTTCTCCCTTCTATTTCCTGGCTTTCCCCTTTTTTTAATTGATTCAAAACCTTTACGGCCTTTTCCTAGCAACAGTACAACCAACACTAGAAATAATACAAAAATTACACCCAGATCCATAGACCACCTAGCGACGACTACAAGCACTGAAGCAAGCCCATGGTGTGTGCCGCCGTCATCATCCCTCCCTCGCCGGAGCCGGGCAAAACTTACAAGGAACAATGTTTTTGCTTTTTTTCCCTCACTTTCTTGTTTCGTTTATCTCGTGATTTTTATAAATATCTTAAAAAAATAGTCAAACAAAATAATTTTGCTAAAAATGTGGTGTCTATTGACAAATTCGTTCACACGACAAAAGTATTAGTGTGTTTTAATTAAAATATTTCACATTTCTTAAATTTCCATACATCTTATTTTTTTTGTACCATTCAACAAAACATTATTCGTGCAATTTCAGAAAAGATGTTCATGACATATTAAAAAATGTATGTACCCATTAAAAATGTTTTATCAATTTTTTTTTAAAAAGTTCATGAAATACAAAAATGATCTTTTTTTCATGAAAATGTATTTTTGACTGAGCTGCACGGCTCATTCGGCTCGTTGTCGTTAAGCTCATTATTGTTAAGCTCGCTATTATTAACGAGCGAAAACCTCTGTTCAGTTCGGTTCATTATAGGCTCATTATGCTCGCGAGTGTTCATGAGTGCTCGTTAAGGTAATAAACAACATAGAATTATCCCATGATCCCATAAAAAATCACAATGGGATAAATTAAACAAGGACGTAGAGGTGATAAACCACACATAAGAATCCCATGATCCCACCAAAAATTCACAACGACATAAATTTAATAAGGACATTTGGTTTCTTGCGGCTGGCTCCTATTGACTCTATGGTCTCCTGGCGGAGTGGCGGCTAGCTCCTAGGTCCAGGAGAAGTGCCAAAGTGGGCTGGGGTGCTTTAACTAGCAACTCTTTTGTCAGTGGGCTGATTTAAACTAGGAGTCGCATGTCAAACTTTTGAAAATTAGCGAGCTAAACGAGTTAGCTCGTCAAACTCATTTGCTCGCTGATTAAGCTCGTTAATCTTAACAAGCAAAAAACAATATTCAGTTTGGTTCATTAACAAACGACCACGAGCCGAAATGAGCTGAACTATCGAGCGCTCATTATACTCGCGAGCCTCAAGCTTTTCGTCCAGCCCTTGTGGGGCGATTGGATCTTGATGTGTGATCGCATGAAGTTTTCGTCAGCCTATTGTAATCGTAAGTGCACCCATATCAAGAAAATAGTGTGAAAAAACCCAACGAAGACTTCACTCAGTGATGATGGAGGGGCTACGACGTAAAGATCCAGAGAGTTGTAGCCTATTTGACGAAAAAGGGTTTCTCTTGCTTTATATATAAAGCAACCAAAACCACATTATATCTGAGCAAGCCGATACAAACACACACCACCGCATACAACACACCCAACCAAGGTATGATATAAAGGTGCCAAGAACTGACACACCACCGCAGACAACACACCCAACCAAGGTATGATATAAAGGTGCCGAGCACCGACACACCACCCAACAACAACCAAGCTAACTAAGACCGCTTGAAGTCGATGGAGACCTCCATAGAGCGCAAGACACCGTGAAGAAGTGAAGCCGGACACGGACGAAGCATGGGCTCCTCGACGGTGCCTCCAAGAAGGGCACGACACCATAGTGTCGCCACTGCCCGATTGCGAAGATCAAGTTTTCACCCGGAGCAACATGGAGAGGAGGAGTGACCGCGACAGATCCTTCAGGAAGGAAAATATAGTAATTTTCAGACGTGTGTTACAGTGCAAGCTTACTGCTAGGTATAAAATACCTATAGTTTTCCAGTATGAACTATTTGTAGTTT